TGCACCATGTCACACAAGTAGGAGAACCCAGTCATGGTTGTCACACAATTTCTGCGACCACATCATTCCTTTCATCTGGCCGCTTAACTCGCCAGACTGCAAATTCCTTGATTCTTATGTCGCACCAAAGACGAACTGAATGCAAGGATTTTGGCAGCATTCACCAACTTAAACAAGAAAACTTTCCAGAAAAGGTGCAGGAGTTCCAAAGTCGTCTAGAGGACTTGGTTGAAGCCAATGTAGTTTTTATTGAAGGAATGCACTCTTTAGTATTTCAAGATATTTCTGTATAATTGTAGTAAATATATTTGTCAAACTGAGTTGTGAGTGTTATTTCTATTATTGCATAATTTAGACGACAGTTTATACATCGCACCTTGTACATTGATTTCTTCTTTTTCTTCTTCTTCTGAGGTGTGTCATGTTCCTTCAGGAAGTTGGCGATCATGGCTGTCAGCAATTTCCTGTCCTTTGTGTCTCTTATTAACTTACCTTCAATATCTCCTGTGAGTATCAACATTTTTAAGGTCTATTTCCTCATTATGTGCCACAGGAATTTCAACCATCTACTCCTAATGTTAATTATAAGTGTTGTCTTGGTCACTAGAACTTCGTCATTGTTCTGTCCATGATATTCTCAGCCTCTTTCTGTAGAACTCAAGTTGAGTATAAACAAAATAGCAAGACCAGAAGAAACCTTAATAGAGATGCTAGCAGCCTTAGATAATTTTGATATGGACAATATTACAGACATAATAAATGAAATATACAATAATGGCGATAAGCCGGAAGTCCTCAGTTGATTAAAATTCATAACACTGCCTAATAAGCTATGTGTAAAGATAGAGTGACTAGGGAATACTGAGAAATAAAAAGAATGAAAGAAGGAAAAAAATAGAAAGCAAAGGAAGTACTAGATAGACAGAGTATGAGAAAATAAGAAAGCCACAAAGTAAAAACAGAGAGACAAATAAAAAACGAAGAAAGAAAGAAAGAAAGAAAGAAAGAAAGAAAGAGGAAATGGTGGATAATCTGGATTTGATTTTTGTATACAATTTATCAAATCTTTGTCTGTTATTTTAAGCCGAGATATATTATGAATTTTCGCAATAATTTTTATTTTTTTGCTCAGCGAGTATTGCATGAATGATTTTTGGAGATAACATCGATATTTTTTTCAGATTCAACACTTACTGTTTAACTATAGTTGGGGGGATAGGATTGATACCATTCTAAGAGATAGATGCGCGTAAGTGAATATAATTCAGTTCTCGGATTTCTAATAAATGAACGAAATTAAAAGAGAACGATATACGACATGAAAAGGGAGATAATTAAAAAAAAGTAAAGACAAGAAAGCGGTGTAAAGCGAGAATATGAGATAATAAAGAAAGACAGAAAAAAAGAATGAATTAACGAATATGAAAAGAAGGAAAAAAACTATCTTTATTATATCTCCAGGGAGGAATAGACTGTATTATGTGCGAACATTTGGCCAGTTCTCAGTAGGACAACGCAGCGATTCTATTTTAAGATGAAATATTCGCGTCTTCAGTCTGTCGCCAGGCCAATATGAATAAAATACCTATTCTGTTTTTGTTTTTGTTTTCCTTTTTGTCTTTCTTTTCCAGTTTTTCCTGACCATTTCCCAGTCCGTCCGTTCTTCGAACCTGTCAATGTGTCTGTCTGAGTAACCTTCTTGCTTGTATGTCAGTTCTGGTTTGAGGCAAATGACTAAGCCTTATTTCCGATATCACCTGTCCGTCTGTCAAAAATATCACTGTCAAGTTTTATATAATAATCTAATTTCTGCATGTCAACCAGTCGGTCAATTAAGCATCTCCTGCGCAGAGATCACTGTATACAAATTCCTTATATATTTTTTTTCTAAGCGAATTCAATATACCAAATCCCCAACGTACAGACATGTATATATTTAATACTCTAGTAAATATAACTTGGCTTGCACTTATACATACTAACCTAGAATGTGATTTGGCATATGTCTGTATTCAGAGACGATCGTGTAGTTCTTCGCTACAGATCTAAATAGGTCCTTTGTAAATATTGGTCTGCCCATACGTCATGGTACTACTCAAATCATACCAAAGAAATGATAAACCAGTAAAAATTCCAAGCATATCTACGTACAAAGTTGTGCTGAACTTTTATCATCTTAATTAAGAAGGGATTTAAAAAAAATATAGGTGGTTATTTTTTTTTAGATCTTGGCAAGTAGAACGGGCTAAATCTTATTAAGGATCGGCTCATATATACATACAAATGAGTATATAGAATGAATAAAATTATCAAGGTACCATATTGAGAATTGATTGCATTTTTCTAGCTTACCTTCTCTAGTATTTTGCTTTTCTACAAATTCGATGAGTTCTTTACATAGTATTACGATTTAGGTGTCCGAGGGTATATATAGACTCAGCGTAATGCATGTCAGCTGAAAAAAAATAGTGGAATAAATACTTCGTAGATTAAGAAGGACGTATTTCTGTGTTAAATTTTCAGTCTTATCGGATCACGTAGTTGATGTTAACTTGAACGGCAACTCTTCTAGATCATTTTGCTTTAATGGCTGTTTCCACCAAGGGAACGTAGTTTGGTCCTTATTTCACCAATCAGCTTTCCGATATTATCAGTTCCTGATTTCTTATCAAGCCTGATGATACAATCATTTACTCCAAGCTTAATAGCAGTAAGTCTGATGAGCTCCATGAAATCAAATTGGTAGCTGATCATGAAAGGAGACGTAAATCTCCGGTTACTTATGACAAGAAATAACTCGTTAATTTTAAAGACACCTTAACGTAACTATCTTTTACTCATCTTCTAAAACGCTTCTGGACATTCATAATTACAGGCTTAATAAATATAACAACCGTTTACACTGTTTCCTGGCATGAGACTTGTTCTCCACACTACAACATCCTTCACACGGAGTCAAATTTGCAAGGCTATCGATATTTCCATTGTTTATTTCCACCAGTTATTCCTAGGATGCCATGCAACTCCCTCAATGTCAAACCTCACTCATGTCTAAATGTAAAAAAAAGTTCCTCTCAGTAACTTTGTTTTTCAAAGAACTGCTTCTTTGAAGAACACATTTCATTGTGTATACATCCCTGAACTCTACACTCTTGACCTCTTCAAAATAAGGGTCAATCGTTATCTATCTTCCTTATTGTCAGTCTTCACCCGCGGGAAACTCTTTTTTTCATTCATACCATATGTGTTTTGTCAAAACCATTTTAACTTCATTCTATAATTAGAGTGGCTATGAGCTTTGTATTTGGTGATCTTTAGCATTAAATAATATTCCAATATGAACAGCTCAGATATGGATTTTGAGCGTAATCGTTAAACGTCTTGGTCAGGGACCACATGCACTAATAAAAGAAACATTAGCTCGACACACTATTGCTGTAGACAACTTTAACGCCATCGTTTTTCAGTCAATGACTGCTTGCGGTCTGTAAGCGGGTGACAAAAAAGACCGATCTCTCCTGCGATGTTCGAGTTTTCATCGGATAAGAAAGGCCAAAGACGCCAGTGCTCGAAGCTTTTCAGAACGAAGAAAAGCCTTGTACGGGACGAAACTCGACCCATATAAAAGGACAGCATTTAAACCAAAAGAATTAGTCTACATTCATTTGTTGTTGCAGGTTTTAAGTCAATTGTGAATAGAAAACTAGTTCTGCGTGTACACAAATGCAGAAACTATGTAACGGAACTATGTAACTTATAAGGCGAAATGATTTTAAAAGAATCATCGGTGGAGATAATCTGAAAACGTAAGATGCATGGATGACGCTTCGCTGATAGGAGATTTGGGAGGTAAACTGAAAAAAATTGTAGAGGAAAAAAAACGACTATTAGCAAAAGAAGACATACGTTATTTTATTCAAAAAGAGATACAACCCAAGTCTGTTTTAGAAAAAGACGATGGAAAATGATGCAACGAAATATGAAAGCACATTAGAATAGCAAAGTTTTAAGAGAAATGAAAATAATGTTACACAATGTGAATACATGTTAACAAGGAGTAAGGCTTAAGGAAAACGGGGACAAAGTAAAACTTATATATATATATATATATATATATATATATATATATATATATATATATATATATATATATATATTATAAATTTCTGGTACACATAAGGGCTTATGGATTTTAACAGGACATATTGAGGATAAGAGAAAGAAACAGTCAATGGATTATTTGCGAACTCATTGCTGATTGGTATTAGGTTGATGCAAAAATAATGACGTAATAATGTCGTTTTTGACGCATTTTTAACGTCAAAAAACGACATTCTTACGTCATCATTTTTTGCACCAACCTAATAGAAAGAAAAGATATTATATAGTTAATAGTTGTCTAGATTTATAAAGTGTTGTGAGAGCCATAATTACGGTAATTCTGAAGGGACACAACACATAAAAACAGGTCTTCATCTTGATGGCTGGTAATCTCAAAAGGATGTTTCCACCATATAAACGAATCCTTGCCTAGAAGAATTAAGATGGTCCCAAAGACCGAGGATAAATCAACATTGTACTAGATTGATTAATTTTTTACGATTTATCAACCTTTTACGGGTTATTTAAAGCCCAAAATATATTTTTGTATTGTATGATTTGTTTTGAGGTAATAATAACTTTATGATACAAATCCTACTATTTAACCCATAGCTTGGAGCAGAAAAGATGTTTGATTCATTCCTTTTTTATGACTTATCAACCATTTGCAGTTTATTTAAATTCGGGTAATATTTTTACATTGTAAAAAAATGAGTTAATAATGATTTAGTTAGAAAAGTCTTACTAATTAACACATATCTGGTGAGAAAAGGCGAATTCATACCTTTGGCAAGGGTATTTGCGTGTAAGTGAATATATGAACCCAAATTGAATTAGGAGTCGCCTCTCAGATAAATAATTTCGACGTATTATACATTACACCACCCACACATTCAAGCTTACACTACCTGGTATTCCCAAGCGTTCACTCTTCTACGTACTGACCAGGCTCGACGTTGCTTACCTTCGGTGATTGGGCGAGAATCGGTGTTTCAGCGGGATATGGACGTAATCCCATATTATTAGAAGTATATACGTAATAAAATGACCGGATACATGGTTGATCCTACTTGGATGTAATTAAAACTTTTCATGATTATGAAGGAAACTTTCGCAGCTCTTATGAGTGTTTTTCAATTCTCTTCAACTTCAGTTCCTAGAATCCCTGTGTATTAAGATTGGTGGTATATAAATTTACTTTTAAGGTATGGGGTGAAATCAGGCATTGTTTAATGTGAAGGACTTGAATATTTATCATTTTCTCTCACCATCGATCCGGCTGAGAAGGGCCCAATGGGGGCTGCTCCATTTTCATAATAAAAATTTCTCCATCAAGTAGTCGATGTTAAAATTGGCCTTTGACGAATGCATCACACACACAGACACACACGCTTATATATATATATATATATATATATATATATATATATATATATATATATTTATATACGTTTCTTTAAATAATATAGACAAGTGTTGTCTATTTATTTTATGTAAATTTATTTCGTGACGTTACGAAAAAAATTACATAAAATAAACAGACAACACTTGTCTATATTATATAATGAAACGTGTATGAATGAAAAGATGCTGGCTAAATACACACAATATATATATATATATATACCGAGATTATTTGATTAAAATTGCAGATAAAAATACTGGAACATGCCACGAACCAAAGGAGCATCAGACCTATCCGAATTTCAGCGAGGACGTATTGTGGGCCAACATGAAGGTGGTCTTAATCAAAGAAAAATATCTGAAAATCTTTCAATAACCCTTTCTACTGTTAATAGAGTGATCGTACAATTCACAAGAGAGGGCAAGAACTGCACAAAACCTCATCCAGGCCGCTCTAGGCCCTCTGAAAGAACCATGTGTCTTTTCGAAAGAAATGTTGAACAGGATCCACGTTGCAAGGCTTCTGGCATAGCAACACAAGTTGATGTCAGTTCCAGAACAGCTGTCAGGTATCTTCACAAGCTGGGCTACTATGGCAGAGTTGCAAGAAGGAAACCACTTCTCCGTCCAGCCGATATCAAACGCAGAAAAGATTGGGCTCATGAGATGGTGGAGAGACCTGTGACCTTTTGGACCACTGTCATTTTTTCTGATGAGTCAAGATTCGTATTATTTTCCGACAGTGGAAGAGTATGGGTATGGAGACTCTGTAGTCAAGAGTTTAATTTAAAAAAGACTGCAGCCAACGGTGAAACATGGGGGCCTTTCCGTAATGGTATGGGGTGCAATTTGGAATGATGGTCGCTCAGAGCTTGTGGAGTGTGAAGGAAACATTAATTCAACAAAATATGTTTTTATATTAAAGAAAGAGCTCCTTCCAATATTCTCAAATAGTAGAATGAGCAAAGTTGACTCCCTATTTATGGAAGATGGAGCTCCATGTCACACTGCTCAAGCAACGCAACATTGGTTGAGACAAAATGGGATCAATAAACTTCGATGGCCGAGTCAGTCCCCGGATATTAACCCTATTGAACAGCTTTGGGGCATATTAGATCGAAAACTCCGCAAAAAGAACAGGCAGCCAACTTCTAAGCCCGAACTTTTAGGATTATTGCGTCATTATGGCAAGAAATCCCTCAAGATGATATTCATGAACTCATCGCTAGCATGCCTAGAAGGGTCCTTGCATTAAAAAAAGCAAAAGGGATGTCAACCAAGTATTAGTTATTAAATTTATGACCATTTATAATTACTTCATTTGTATAAATTACTTGTTTAATAAAATAAATGGTTTCTGTGAGCGTCTATTCAATTCTGTCATGTCTTATATATATATATATATATATATATATATATATATATATATATATATATATATATATATATATTACAATGAATCATTCATGCAAAAATTAAATTAGTAAAGTATGATATAAATGGCGAAATTCCTTCGTTAACAAAATTTAAAAGATACATTAACCTACTAATCACTCGATGAATGTTATGATCCTTAAAATCTTTTAAAATTTTGTTAGCGAAGGTATTTCTCCATTTTATATCGTTAACTTTACTAATTTACTTTTTGCATGAATGATTCATTGTAATATAAATTGAACTGCACATATTTGATATATATATATATATATATATATATATATATATATATATATATATATATATATATTGGGGAGATAATAATAGTTTAGTGATACAAGTCTTACTAATTAGATCATAGTTAAGTGGACAGGAGATGAATTGATAACTTTACCAAGGCTATTTGCGCGGGAGTGATTATAACGACTCCTACCAGAAATGGACCTCGGTTCACCGTTTAATAATTCCGGGCCATTATCAAGTACAACCACCCCGCAAATCTAAGCTTACAGCAGCTGGTATTCCCAGAAAATGATTTGAGGCATGAAACTGACGGTCACACGTATAGTTCATTTACATGCTCACACCGACATACGCTCTATCTCCGATAGTGACCATTTTCCCTATTATTATAGAAAATGTAAACATTATAGTTATATGTATTAGAACGCACTGATATATATATATATATATATATATATATATATATATATATATATATATATAATATAAATATTGAAATATAGTTAATATATATATATATATATATATATATATATATATATATATCGACAATTATTTAAATATATTTATTATGTATACGTTATTTTTATAAATACAAATATTTAAGTAAATGCTCTGGTTATAATAAATAGTATGAACAACATTTATCAGACTGAATGTCCGAGGTCCGAGAAATTTCATACAAAATATGTATCCTCCGTATGAACAATAAATGTATTAAAATAATTTTCGTTCATTTCATAATATATGATGCCATTTGTTTACGTTAAGATAGACTCCAAGTAGATATGAGCGTTGAATGAAAATCATGGGAAGTTTGTACTTTAAAAGCAGTAATTTGACCTTGCTATCAAGACGCTTCCTCTGTATCAAAGTGGTATAGCACGTCAGGCTATATGACGGTTCCGTGTAGGACATGGGAGTGATTCCTGTTAAAGGACATATTTTCTATGAAATTTCTCGGACATTCAGCCCGGAAAACTTGGTAATACAGTTTGTTAGAAACAGATCATTCACTTAAATATTTGAATCTATAAAAGTAGCGTATATATATATATATATATATATATATATATATATATATATATATATATATATATCACAGAAAGACCAGGCCAGATGTGCTAGTAATGTTCAATTTCCATAAATTCGTTTTTTGATGATTTTTAATTTTTTTTAAACTTATTTCGTTTCCTGTTAGACAACTTGTTAATTTATATTCTATTTTTTTTCTGTGTCAGCCTCATTAATATTTCACCAATTTGAAATACATACGGAGTTTTAGAAAAAGTAATCTCAGCATTCTCAACATTATTAGCTGTTCTTGTATGCGCTGTTTTAACTCTCGAACTCAAAAGCTACTAAACCCACCATGGTTCAACTTCTTTTCACCTCTATTCTATCATTACTCTCTCCGCTACTTAATGGCACCTAATTAACCTATTATTATCGCTTCTGGATTGCCTCTTCCAGCCTAGGGCGCCATCCTATATCCCGCAGTTCTTGTGTTCACCAGACAATCTTCAACGCATTCAATGCACTCAACGATAATAGACACGCATCTCCACTTGAGGCTCTCACAATTTACCAAATGATTTGGTCAGTGGTAGGTCGAGAGATAGCTCTTTATATACTTATCGCTCAACCTCCATGGCAAAACCATTTTGATTTGTCCATTGGGTTTGATGAACCTTAAAAAAAAAATAAGAAAAATCGACAGCGGAGTTGGAACATTGAAGATTCTTCCGACCGCCACAAAAAAAAAAAAAAAAAAAAAAAAAAACACACACACAAAAGAAGCATTTTAGTTACCTGGTTATTTTTGGTTGCTTTATTTGAATATAAGATGTTTCTGTCATGGTATTTGCTATTTTAGTTAATCCCCGAGGGCCTTTTATAAATACGTTTTATGAGAAGGGGAAGAAAGATTACTTTTATGTTTCCCAATTCGAAAGAATTTTAAGTAATATTTTGTCTGTAGTGCTGAACTTGAGCTAAAGTCATTCAATAGCATGATTATCTCTTGATTTTATCTATGAATATCCAAATATTACAGAAAAAATTGGCTTTTATGTAAATGATACAGACATGTGATTTAATCATATTGTAAAAGAAAAGTCTGATAATGAGAGATGTTTCTTCTGATAGTCTCACACGCCATCGCCAAAGTTTTTAATTCTTTATTCACTAATTCATTAATTTGACCATGTCTAAAGCTGACAAATTTCTTTGTTTGAAAATTGGTTTTCATTGCGTTGCATCAATTCATTATGGTTGATTTCTCCGTGTAAAATGGCAAAGGAAAAACAAATGCTAGAATAAGGTTATCCAAGATTTTATTCAAGAACTAAACAGTCAGATGTGAATATGCATAGGTATATTTTTCGATTAAATATCTTCTGTTGATCGATTCCTGTAGAAACTAATTTTCTTTATCTCATAAGCTGATGTGATCTATGTAAAAATAATTGCATCATAATATTACATTTATTGATTGAATAATCATTGTTATTGTCTGTTGATATTTCTCGATATTGGACCTTTCGCATTTGCAATTAATGAACAAATAAATATTATTTTTTCCTCTGCGTATTTTTTCAATCCTTTAGTATATAATTTCTGGACATCTTTATGTTTAACATCGCCTTAACGATGTCAAATTTGCTTAAGAAAGAGTCGTGCGATTATATTTTCGTTGGTGTTACTGGAAACGTTAAAACATCATTGTATATTTAATTTTAAAACAAAATTAACGCACAAGGCCACAGTATTTGGGCACCCAGTGAAATCACTACCCTGACGATCTTGTCTACAAAACTTATGAATTGAATCGAAAAACAACTTTTTAAGCATTGTATCACGATATATGCTCATAAGGTTGGGTTCGAATATAGGTTAACGATACATTTGTAAATATCATAGTCACA